TTGGTGAGTGCTGTTCTGCTGCCCATACTGGCTCGGCAAGGATCTTTTGTAACGCTGTGTTTCTTCTAATGTATTTTTTTAAGTTTTTCCTTGTCTGGGAAGACTCTAGTTTCTCCATCTATCTTGATAGATAATTTGGCTGGATCGAGTAATGTTGGGTTTGTGTTGTTTTCCTTCAATTTTTGGAATATGTTACTCCACTCTCTCCTCTTCTTCATAGTGTCCGCTATAGGTCTGAGAAAAGTCTTATTTGGGAACCTTTATATGTGATTGCTTGTTTTTCCCTAGCTGCTCTCTTTATTTTCTCCTTTTCCTCAAAGTTGGATAATTTAACTATTATGTGCCTCAGTGACTTCTTCTAGCTGGTGTACTTTCAGTCTCTTGATTGGTTGCCTGGTTTTCATTCACTAAGCTGAGGAAGTTTTTCTCCTAGAACTCTCTCACTGTTGTACAAATGACTTCTTTGGTGTGTCTTCCCCCGGTAATCCAATTATTCTGATGTTGTTCCTCTTCATAGTATTAGACCTAACTCTTAGGTTTTCTTCAGCTTCTCTGATGATCTCACTAGATTTTTGTTCACATTTGTTAAAGTCTCCTTTGCTGTCCTCTGGGTCATTGGTGCAGTTCTCTGCCTCCTCCTGTCAGTTGGCAAAGTCTGAGTGTGCTACAGGTTTTTGTTATCTTGTTGTCCCTAAGCTCTTATAATTCCCTTTGGTGTATGGACTTTATCTCCTTTATCATTTCATCCTTTTTCTGTATTCCTTCCCTCATATTCTGTATGACTCCTAGCCACATTCTTAAAATTTCTTTTTGTGGTAGATCAATGTGTGATTCTTCTATGAATGTTGTTAGGTTCAGGACATCTTCTTCCATTGCCTTTTCTTTCTCCTGTTTTTTTTTTTCATTGAGGTCATTGGAGCTGATTACTGTTTGCTTAGCACCGTTTTAGAGGAGCCAAGTGCCATATTCCAGGGAGTCGAAGAGCACTGGCTATCTCTTGGAGACTCATAGGAATGATTGTTCGCACTGCCTGCAGCTAATTTCACTATGGAATTGGCCTGCCACTTTATCCTCCTGTGACTTCACTCTTTTTTCAGTCAACCAGTTTTCTGTTATTTGCAGGGCAAGTTGGATGGTCCTCTCAGGGGCTGCCGGGTGGTTTGTTGTGGACCCATGAGGATGGTACTGTACTGGGTGATCTCACAAGAAACTATGATGGTGTGTCCCATGCAGCTTGATGTGCTACAGAGGGTGTGCAGGGGTGCCTCCTGCAACGGGAGTACCACAGAAGGCTGGTGCGTTGCGTGTTTTGTTGCAGAGCACTGCAAATGGTGAGCGGAATTTCCCTGGTCAGGTAGATCCCTGTGGAGGTTGGGCAGAGATTCCCGCAGCAGCATGGAACATTGGGGAGTGTTGGCCAATATCCCTTAGGCCGTGTGAGGCACTACAGCAGGTGGGAGGAAGTTTTCTAAGTCATGTGGAAACACAGAGGATGGATAGGAGATACCTCAGCTATGCAGGCAGAATTTCGTTTTAAGAAGGTGGGTGGGATTATCCCAGCCAAGTGATAAGCACTGCAGATGGTGGGAAAATGGAATTTCCCCAGGAAAAAGTTGCATGGGATATCCCCTGGTGGAGGGTGGGCGGGCTTTCCCTAACTTCAGTTTATGCTGCACTTGGTAGAGTGTGCCCAGTTAGTTGGATGGCAGGTGTAAATGCCCTAGGCTAAGGAGAGTGGTCTGGAGGTCTGGTGGCATTTTAGAGAAAAGGGAAGAGGAAAAGAAAAAAAAACTAAAAACTAAGCCTACTTTGACTGTTGGGGGATAGAGGGAAGAAGGGGAAAGAAAAATAACAATATTGCTGAGCCTCCATCCCTGACCGTGGTGCTGGAGTGTTTTAATCCCTGCCCTGACACACCGGCAAGCTGTGGCTGTGTTGAGATAAAGCCCTGGCAGTGATGATTTTCCCTCTTAGTAACTCTCCTGCACTCATTTCTGTGGAGTCCCTTTGGTATGTGTTACTCAGTCGCCATCTTCCCAGAAGTCCTCGACAAGTTTTTAATTTTAGTTTTTTATCTTTTTAAAAATCTCTTAATCTTTTAATTCTATTCTTTCATAAACTCTGAAGACCATATGTTGAAATTCAATAGATTTTCAAATAAGTTTGTTTTGTTTATTATTGTATATGCTTTATTTATAAAGTAGTGTGAAAGCATAGAGAAGGAACAATGACTCTATTTATGGTGCCAACAAAGACTTCACAGAAAGCAACCTGTGCTTTGTTACTTTTTCTTGGTTTTAGCATGTGTATACCCCAAAATTGTAAATGAGCTTTTAGGAATTAGATGTAAAAAAAAATTTAAATCAGTGTACTAATGATAATAACCAACAGAACTCTAATATCTGAAATATCAAGAAAACTTTTGTTGTTAACAACAAAAAGACAAATAATTAAATCAAAAAGTGCACTAAGGACATGAATACACACATCTCTAAAAAGGATATTCAAATGCAAATAAGTAGATGGCATAATTTTCAGCATCACAGCAACATGAAAGCCAACACAATGCAGATGAGTGGGAAAAGAAGGAAAGAGAAATATGTGTGCATATATATGTAAAGAAACATCACAGTAAAAATACATGGACTTGCCATTCATCCTTTTTCCAGATATGATTGTTTATGTTGCTTTATCATTCTTTCTCTTATTTTCTTTTCATGAATTTTTTTGGAGTACTTGGAGACATTATGCCCCTTTTCCACTAAATATTTTATTGTTCAGTTCCTAAGACTTGGGAGATTTTCTTGCATAAGTGCAAAACAACTACCAAAATGAGGAAATTTAACATGGGCAGAATAATAACTATTAATGTGTCCCTAGTTAGAATTCCAATTTTGTCTCTTACTCCACTTATGTTCTTTGTAGCTATTTTCCCCAAATCAATTCATGAATACACATGAATACTGAGGTGTCATGTATGTTTAAAACTGGACAAGTTTCTCACCTTTCCTTGGTGCATCACCTTTATATTCTTTTTTTTT